CAAAGGCCGCCCAGCCGGCGGGGGTCCCCCAGTCAGGCGCCATGCCCCCCCCCCACCTACCGCGGCGCCTACCCCGATTGAGGGCCCGCCCCCCCCCCCCCCCCCCCCCCCTCCCGCGTGGTTGCCTACACCATGAGCCCCATCTAGGAGGGCGGAAATCGCCGCCCCCCACTGTGGGCCTCTTTCCCCCCCCCCCCCCCCCCCCCCCCCCCCCCCCCCCCCCCCCCCCCCCCCCCCCCCCCCCCCCCCCCCGCCACCACAGCGATCTCAAACCCGAGAACATGCTCCTCGACTCCAATGGCTATGTGAAGCTGGCCGACTTCGGGTCCTGCTTGCGCATTGGCAGCATGTCGGTCGAGTCCATGACGCCAGTCGGAACACCTAACTACATTTCGCCCGAGCTGCTGGCCTGCATGCACAAGGGCGGCCACGTCGGCACCGAGACCGATTGGTGGTCCCTCGGCATCGTGCTCTACGAGCTGCTCTACGGCGGCCCGCCCTTCGACAGCGAGCGCAACACCGTCCTCTTCGGCATGATCCAGAACCACGAAAAGCACCTGGAGTTCCCGGATGACTACGAGGTGTCGCCCGAGGCGGTGGACCTCATCCGCGGGCTCATCTGCGATCGGTCCAAACGTCTGAACTTCGAGCAGATCAAGGCCCACCCCTTCTTCAAGGGCATCGATTGGGAGACGACCCGGCAGCAGACGCCGCCCATTGTGCCGCAGCTCAATGGCCCGGAGGACACGCACCTCTTCGAGGATGACCTCTTCGAGATCCCGCCCGACCTGCCGGCCCCGCCCATCGACACCAACTCCGGCGCCCAGCTGGCCTTTGTCGGGTACACCTTCTACCGGAACCGGGATTACGGCCTGCCGACCCCCCCGCAGCCCGGTACGCCAGCGTCTGTGGTGCCCCTCCTTCTTTGTCTCCCTCCCCTTCCCGTGCTTACATGTGTGGCTGCCCTCCCTCCCTCCCCCCTCTCTCTCTCTCTCTCTCTCTCTCTCTCTCTCTCTCTCTCGTTCGCGCATGCACGCCATTTCCACCAGACACCGCGGCCCTCCCGGCGGCGGCCCCGGCCCCGGCGGTTGCTGCCCAGTCGGCCATCTCCGAAGCCGAGTTCAAGAAGTACCGCGAGGATTCCGAACGCTGGAAGCAGATGTTCCAGACGGAGCAGAGTGTACGTGTCTGCCCCTTGCTCGGCTTTTCCCGTCCTCCCTTGGCTGTGATGCTGACAGCAGTCTTCGTGCTTCCCCTTGTCTCCCGCTCCTCCGCCCCCCCCCCCCCCCC